TAAAATCAGTAATTATTTTTAAAAATGTATTTATTCATTCAATTTTTCCTTTCATATTTCGATACACATAATTAAATGTATATGTTATTATGTATTCGAGATACATATTTTTGGATCTAACGTATGAAATTTAGATACACAAATTAGATTTAGATGTAGATGCTTACTATGTATTTGAGATACATGTTTTTGAATATAATATATGTAATTGATACTTGATACATCAAATTAATACTAGATACAAAAAAAGATACATGAATATATATATATATATATATATAACATAAAATTAATACTAGATACGTATAACAAATACGTGAATTTAATGCTAGATACTTTAATACATATGAATGTACTTGTATGACACTCGGATATCTAAGTGTTTAGTTTGTGGGATACACCATATATTGATAATAAATACATAAAATTAATGAACTTATTTTTTTAAAAGTAATAATTTGAAATTAATCGAATTACATTATCAAGCTATACATGTTTTTATCTTATATTAATAATATTGATGAATTTACTATTTTAAAGAATAATAAAATGAAATTAATTATCTATGTATTTTGAAAATCCTCAATTACTCCTCTTATTAAGGAAATCAGTTACATGCCTATGAATTCAGTTGATTAGTCCAAATGATAAGCCAAATTTGAAAATTCAAGCAAGAAGTCTTATCTATAATTCTGTCAAGTCTCCAACGATTAGATACTGCTGATTTCGTCCAACTGCCCACACAAGCATCCTTCAACTTTGGCGCCAAAATCACCCTTCAACCGCCCTATCTCGCGCCTGCCCACGTGTCAGTCATGTGTGTTGGTCTTGTCTCACCCAGCTGGCCATTGGGGTTCAACTCGCCCTAGCCCAACTCTAAGCCTTCAAACTTGCATAGCCACGATCTTGTCACAATCGCAATTAGAGCAATTAATATGGGCTAGGTCCGTTGGCCGGCGTGGTCTGGCCTACCCAGAATTTAATAGGGTTGGACTAAGATTTTTGAAGCCCATTTAAGAAAAGAGTTTTTTAGCCCGGCCTGAATAAGTCTGGTGATTTGTGGGGCTTGAGAAATATCGGTAGGGCCAGACGTGGGCCAATAAAAATTAATTAATAAATATAATTTAAAACTAAAATTTTAAATTAGAGAGAATCCAAACTCAAAATAATTAGGTTAATATTTCTATTTATATATTTATAATTTTACTTGAAAAAAAAACTTAGTAAATATTATGAAGATAATTTTATTTGTGAATTTGATTAACAAGTAGTAACATTAATATCATGTAATACTATTTTGTTGATATTTATGATAATATTTTTAAATTATAATTTATAATTTAATTTAATAATTATGTAAAAAATCTATAATATTTAAAAAGTGGGCTGACCCGACAAGTCTGTAGCCCACGTACTTGTGGGTTGGGCCGACCGTTTTTTGGCCCACACAAAAAATGGGCTAACCCGTAAAATGTCAAAGCATGTATTGGTTAGTTCGTATGGGTGGGCTAGCCCATATTGACAGCTCTAATCACAATGTTCCTTTGCCTTGCCTTAGCCTGCCTAGCCCTTGTCATGCCTCGGCCACGTCTTGCCTCATATGCCTTAGCTCTTCCAGCCTTTGTCATGTCTTAGCCACGTCTTGCCTTGCATGCTTTAGCCACATCATTGTCGAGGTGTTCTCTTATATGAACTCAACCTTGATTGAAGTCATTAGACCTTGACTATGTAAATCTTACAGACCTTCGTTCCCACTTTGAACTAGAAAAGTAGAACCAAGAATTACATCGCCCTTTCATTCTGCTTCGACTTTGGTTATACCTGATATCACTAATTTAGTGACTATCTGTCACGACCGAGCCAATCACCGTGATGTGGTTGACATTTATAAATTATTGTTGGTCCTCAAGTGAACCATTAATGGACTAACTAAATACTTTGCGGATGGTTACAACATGCACACAAAAATATTAAAATTGATGAGCATTTAAAGAATAAACTGAGTCTCAAAGATGTGCGAAGATACTGAGTATAAATGACAAAAACATAGTTAAAACATACTAAAAGAAGACTCAAATGTCTCTCTAACTATGTATATCTATGAAGTCTCTACGGTCTAAAGATTGGTGTTGGGACAAGACTCACAACAACTTCCAAACACTACTACTAAGCAATAAAATTGGAATCCTCCGAAAATATAAAGGTCTCGCCTAAAACTTACGAGTGAATGATAATACCTGTATCTGCATCATAAAATGATACAATGTCAAATGATGTCTGTACACTGAATGTACGATATGTAATAAATTGAAGGAAATCAATAACTCAATGAACATCTAAAAGTAATTCAACTGAAGTAAGACAAGAATATGAATGAAATAACTAAATTTTTTTTATCGTAGATGTGTAATAATAGCAAATACTGAAATAGTATACTTTATTTTTTGTGAGAGTTTATCTAATCAACAAATATCACTATGAGCCTCATGTGATACAATATCCCATCTACATTCTTATACCTTGCAGGGCTATAGAATGCAACTAAACTACCCCATCCACTAAAAGTCTTCTTAAGGCATGTGAAGAGTTATTTGAATTCCAATATGATCATATCTACACCGATAGTGTAGGTTATAGGGTTTCAGATATCTCAACTTTTATCCAAATTGTTGCTCAATAGTACTCCCAAAATATATGTAAATGTGCATATAATAGTACTCGGTGGTTGAGTTAATATTTGAAAAAACCGTCTTTAAGGGATAACTGTGATTAACTTTACTGACTGAAATGTTTTTGAAAACTATTTATGCTCTTCTCAAAATATTACTACGTCTGTCCAAATTTATGTGACTTACTTTTCTTTTTAGTCAATCCAAAAAAGAATAACATATTTCTATATTAAGTAATAATTAACCTATAAAATACCTATTTTATCCTTAATAAAATGATTTACAATCAAACAAGTTTCTATCATTCATCTTGGATAACAAGTTTTAAAAGTCTTCCTCTCTTTCTTAAACTTCGTATCGAGTCAAATTACCTCACATAGAATGAGACGGAAGGAGTACTTTTTCTCAATGCAAAATAATACATTTAGAACCATTAGTGTTCCTTTAAAAAAAATTTCTCAAATAGTGTTTAAAAATATATTTGAACTCACTTTAGGTTCTGAAATCAATCATAGAAATACCCGCACAAAAACTCAAAAACTAGGGTTCATGTGATAATATAAGCATGAACAACAACTTAAGAATCAAAATGCAAAAGATATCATAATCTCAATAGTTAAGAAAATCATAATTCAGTAATATGAAACACAAACCAAACTCCAAAGTTCATGGAACTTCGGGTAGAATCCTAGACTTATCTCTTTACTGATTGAATTTAGAGGTAGGGCATGAAGACGGTCTTAGTCCAACACTGTGAATACCCTTGCATACTCTGAAGAACAAAGCTCTCAAAGAAGAAGCTTGAAAACCCTATCTTCTCCCTTGCTTATGGTGGTTTTGAGTTTGAAGGATTTAAGAGTGTAGGAACTACGTCTTGAGCGTGAAAATCCTTTTAGGATATATGTAATGTCATGGCTTAAACTTAGGAAAAAATGAAAAAAAAAAACAATCTCAATTTAAAAACTGTTAGAAACCTTCCACGAGGTCATTTACAGTCCGTGGTTTGACCTACGGACTGTAAATTCCATCCGTGAAAGTTAGACTGAAATTTGAGTTTGAGAATTTCATTCTACGGGCCCAAATATAGCTTTATATTCATCTTGGTGTTCAATATATATATAAGTAGATATGGAACAATGACTTATTGAGTCTTTGGTTAATTATGTGTAAAGTTTGGACCAAGAGTCGTAGTTAGCTAGCAATTGTTTTCGTTTTTGTTGTTAATATTGGGAAGAATATAGGTTATACATAATTTGTGTATATTTTGGTCATTCCATCTACCCAAATTTTTGTTGTTTATGTTGTTTTAGAAGTAGGGGTGTACAAAATCGAATCAAACCGCTCATCGAGTCAAATTAAAAAAAAATTGATTAATGATTTGATTTGATTTGGTTTTGGTATTAGAAAAAAAACCTAATTATATTTGGGTTGGTTTAGTTTTAACTAAAAAAAAATCAACTCAAGACCAAACCAATCTGACATTATATATGTAATTTTAAAATTTTATTTTATGCATAAAATATGGAAAAATACATAATATGGCAAACTTCAATATATATTTAGGGATAATGCACAAGTACTCCCTCAATCTATGCCCGAAATCCCAGAGACACACTTATATTATACTAAGGTCCTATTACCCCCTGAACTTATTTTATAAGTAATTTTCTACCCCCTTTTAATAATACTTATATACATAGATAATTGTATTGTAATATTAATACAATGGTGATTTGTGAATACAAATATATTTGAATACATAAGTAATTTATCCAATTTGATTAGACAATACAAGTATAGTTGGATACATCAATACTATTAATAAGCTTACTGCACATGACGGAAAGCATACATTCTCATTAAAATATTAATGAAAATTGAGAT